CGACGGTGCAACTGGTGCGTGAATTCTACGCCAACTACGATGCTGCAGAGCCTGATACAATCTTCGTCCGAGGAAAATTGATCCCCTTCACATCTGAGGAAATCAACAGCCTCTACAACTTGCCGGATGTCGAAGATCATTTCAACAGCTTCGCAGACAGTTTAAACGAGGATCAGTTGGATGAAGTTATCAATGAACTGTGTGTTGAGGGTACTGAATGGCGGAGAGCAACCAGAGGGTCGATGACATTTCCCAGGGAGTGCCTCCAGCCGGGACCGAAGATTTGGTACAATTTTCTAAGGTTCTGGTTGATGCCGTCCTCGCACTACTGCCTAGTACACAAAGAGAGAGCCATTCTGCTGCATTGTATGATGAAGGGGGGGCCCCTAAACGTGGGAATGATGATTCATCAGTAGGTAGGCGTTTGTGCGGGGCATAGGAATAGGGGGTTATGGTTTCCATCATTAATCACGCAGTTATGTATTGCTCATGGAGTAAGCATTGAAGAGCACGAAACGAAAGAGCCGCCATCCGCAGCAATTTCCACATTTGTTCTTGCACGGCTCCTGCACGATGACGCGCAAGAAGAAGAAGCTGCTCCTGCCCCGGCAGCGAATGCACCTCACTTAGGAGAGCCTGCTGCTGAGCCAAACAGCCCTGACATCGTGGCTAGATTGAGTAGCATGGAGCAGCGCCTCAGCCAGGTGGAGGTGCAGCAGTACGAATCTGCGCAGCAAATGCGGGAATTTTGGAAATATACGAAGCAAAGGGATTTGGCTCTCCAGAAACACTTCAGGGCTAATTACAGGAGGTTCCATTCCTTTCCAAAATTTCCTCCCTATCTATGCAGTTCCTCATCCGAGGATGAGGAGCCTAGCCCTACGGAAGAAACAGCACCACCCTCTCCACCCCCGCCTCCAGCTGAGCAGCAGCAGCCTGAAGAGGCTGCCGCATCCAAGCGCCAAGAGAAAGGAAACTCTGCCGCACCTGAAGCGTCCACCAAAAGAATGACGTTGCGGAGTGCAGTGAACTGGAAGTGGCGAGAATGAAAATGGCAGCGCTAAGTCAGGGCAGTCCTTCCTCTTTTCTCTCTCTCGTCTATATCTCATTGTCGCTTAGTTATAAATTTTCATTTGTTTTATTTTTCATTGTTCTGTATTGATGAGTTATTTTTATTTGTGATTGATTATTATTGCATACTTTGTGATGATTTTTCTTAGTCTCATGCTAAAAAAAAAAATATATATTTGTTACTCATAAAAAAAAAAAACTTGATTTGTGCAGCTCATATATATATGGAGATTTTGCCTTGTGTTGATTTGTAACTCGTTTGATTGATTTCTCTTGGCTTGTGATTTTTCCCATTATGCACTACCTTGTGTTATTGATTCAGTGTTTTCCTAGGGTAAGATTTTGTACATGAGCGTCATTTTTAAATAAACTATTTATAAGCTCTAGAACTTGCTTGATGACTCTTGAGGCGAAATCTCAAGTTAGCACTTTACCAAGGGAATGATTTAGGCTATCTTTGGACAGTTTGAGCCTTGTAGCCGACCTTAACTGAACATATCCCTAGCATACCCCATTGAGCTTATACATTTTTTTTCTTTTTTCCTTGTAACCCTTCTCTTAGCTTTTATATCCCCATTAAGCATCCCTAGCCTAGCTGTTGCAGCAGTATACCCACCTTCTTCGTGTGGGAGATAAGGTGGTGGGTGATTGAAGTTTCGTTGCTCTTT